CCCAGTCCAGGGTAATGAGGGTCGATAATATACCAGGTATGTCTCGTTGTTTGTACTGTCAATCTAACCCTGCATGCGTGCTATATCATTATCAACTGGTTGATTGTAGGGGGATTCAAACATCAAAGCCAATGCTGAAAGAGGCACAGGGCATCTTCAATGATACAAAGGTACAAAGGATAATGGGCACATTTCCCAAGGCCATTGCCGTATCCGGCTTGCATCATGCATATATAATTGCCATTGGGACTCTCGCACGATTGATCCAACGCTTACTATGCGTGCTATGTTACTACCGGGGAGACTGGAGCTGGTGTCCTGTCGTTAGTGATCGCGGAGGCATATAAAAACCAGCAGCCAACGAGCGAGTTAGTGGGAACATACCTGCGGCGTTACCCGGGCAAATCAAAGCTAAATATGCAGCCTGCAGGTTAAAATTCTTCGTTCGACTTCTAGTGTTTGAAAGTAAAATAACTAAAGATAGGGTCAAACAAAGGAAACCTATCCTGATCTACAGACACAAAGGGTAACCCATCACTAATTTATCGGCGCATGAACCCGTCCACAGGAATTTGGCGTAGAGTAGATAAATAAAAAAAGCCTCATCTTCTTGAACTCCAAATAATTACCCCCCTAGAAAAAAAGTAAATAAAAGTCATCATCATGATTCCAATGCGGTGAATAGAGTGAGTGGGTAGGGCTGTGTCATGTTAGTTTTGCAGCCTTCTCAAATATCTCCGGGGTTAGGGTATCTTCACGATCAACAACTTCGCTAAATCGCCCGAGAGACCTCAACCTGGAGATCATGTCTTCATCCCCAAGGTGGCTGTTGTGTTCGAACTCCGGCTCTTCGTCGTATGCAACTCTTGCGGCATCAACTAGGATCCGGGCCGTCATGCCGAACACTCGAAAGCGCTCAAGACCCAACGACGATTTCTCCTCTTCTAACTGGTTAATGGCATCGTCTTGCTCTTTGCTATGCTTCTTGGGTGTAGCAACTCTCTGATTCGTTATGGCAACGAAAAAATGGTGCACTGATCCAGTTAGCAACGAATACACTAGTTATAGATCCAACCTATACTGATAGAAAAGGAAAAAAAAGAAAAAAAAAAGAACATAGACCTACTTCTCCACTGGGTTGAGTTCCACTGTGTCCATGATCCCTCGTACCAATCACTCGGTTTTCCAGGCAGGGCATCGTCTCCCTCTTCCCGGGGCTCATCGGTCACTTTCAAGAAGTTATGGAACGGGGCAGTGAAAACAGCCGCCACTTCTTTGGCGTCTAGTTGGGGTATAAATGCTTCTTCAGGATCGGCGTCTTCACCCGTCTTTTCGTTGTAGGAGTGTAAGAGCGCAATACATGGGCGGACAGCAAGTTCTGTCCGGGCCAAGCTGGCCGGCAGCTCACACAGATGCTCAACCCAGAAGGGCGACGGCATCTGCTGGTCTATGTTTGGTAGACCAATCTCCTCGTACGCTTCACGCCGAGCAGTTTGGAAAGGAGTCTCACTTGGCCCATCCGCTTTTCCGCCAGGCAAGGCCGCTTGGCCGGGATCTAAAGTAGTTGTTAGTTGTTATATTGACGTGATTGCTGTGAAGTGGAACATACATGATTTGAGCGTGCTTGCACGAATGGTCAAAATGACCCGAAGATCTCCTCTCCGATCAGCAAAGAGAAGTAATAATACCGAAGCCTGTCTTGTAGAGGGCATGGAGTAGTAATTCGTTGGGGGCGGAGTGTATCTCCTCAGACGCTCAATGGCATTCTACCGTCCCAGCAGTTAGATGAATGATGTTTCACTACCCAGCCATTCTGGAACGATATGATAGTGATCGACTGCATGAGACAATGCATCTGTCGACTCATGCAGACCGCAGGGCGTCCTTTTGTGTGTACATGCAGGAGTGCTATATTTACTGACCTTGGATTCCTGGGATAGCGGCGCCATCTTTCCTTTCACCGTTGAAGATCCTGCGGCGCACGAAAATGGTCGAATATGAGAGATGCTACTATGGCAACGGGCTAGATCTAGAGCGACAGACCGCAGACTCTGCCTCATATCTCTCCTGTGAGACGTGATGCTTGATATATGTATGCACTTGGCCAGCCTCATGTAAGTACAGACAGGCCGTGTTGGGTTTGCCGCATCTCAACATCTCAAGGGCTGGAGTTGTGCCGAGGTCGGAGTTGGGCGCAGCAGACACGGTCAGCCACCAAACAGCCGTCTACCAGAGTATTTATTAAGTCAGATAAGATATATATATAAACTGTTACTTTTGAGGAATAACGCATTAATGGTATCAAGTAGGCACTTTTTTCGTCCATGATCTAGCTAGTTATGATGATATTTCACCCCAGTGATTGACCAAAGCAACCATTTTCTATAACTACAAGCCCTCCTCACCCCAGTCTAAACCAAAACATATCAAATCAAGAAGAAGATGAGAGAACAAAGGAAAGGGTTGGGAGGTATGAAAGGGCAATGAATCCAGGACATGATGCAGAGTAGTGTAAGCCCATCTCACCAGGGCGGAACCCTTCGTCAAGGGGAGGGAATGACAGGAGAATGCGAGATTTGGATAAGATAATTACAAGATAAGGGGATAAACAAATACACTTGTTAGAATTTAGAAGGAAACGAATGTCGAACTTGGGAGCGTGTCGACTATTTACTGCTTCTTTTCTTCGGTCTGGTCCTGCTTGGTAGACTCTTTTTCAGCAGCGGTATCATTTTCCGTCTTTTCAGGCTGAGAGGTAGACTCGGCTCCAGAGGATGCATCCATGTGCTTGTCCTCTTTCTCGTCGATATCCTCATGGTCCTTGGGCGCCGGCATGCCCGTATTGCCGTTCTCAGTGATCTGTTCGTTCTCTTCCTCGATAAGCTCCTGCTGTTCCTTCACGACCTCGAGACGCTGTCTGTTAGTAGCGGCTCCCTCAGCGTTATGGACCTCGAGCTCGATCTCATGGAACAGCTCCTCGGGGATACTAGAAAGTACAGATCGGAGAGCATCCATCTGAGAGGAGATTTCATACTCTTGCGAGTGCTGGGTATACATGTATGCATTGCTTAGAACGAGCAAGGTAGATGGGACACCCTGCTTCAGACGTAGGTCAAGCCACATGGACAAGTCATCCCGGAGCCTAGCAGGGGAAAGGCCATGGGTTCGGAGACCGCGAGACGCACATGCCATCTGAAGCTCGGGGATAAGCAACGAGTCAACTCCCTCGTATGCAATGGCCCTATCATCACGCTTGATCTGGCGCATTCTGACACGGATGGTATATCGGAGCATAGCATCAGTGCCGAAAGTGTTGAGATTCATGTACTTGCACATTGCGACCAGTTGGGGCCGCGACAAGTTGTCCAGGGTCAGATCATCCTTGAAGATCTTGCAGACGGCTATAACATCTTCATCCGACGGAGTTTCGCCAGTTGCTCGGACTTTTCGGAAGAATTCAGTGAATTCTTCCTTTTTAGCGTTCATCGGGCTCAAGGGAAGGCCGGTCTCTCGCAGCGTTCCCTGTAGGAAATTGGAAACCTCCTTGCGTGTGCCTCGGAGAATGGCGGCCTTGTCATCCTTGGACTTTTGGCCCTCGTAGGTGCTTGGTAAAAGGTTGGGGAAGAGTTTGAGAGCCACAGGGAGAAGCAATTCAGCAAAGGGGATGATAACAAAGGCAGAGAAAGGAACAAGCCGGGCCAGATCTCGGACGGTTCTTTTCAACTAAACCAACGTGTCAGTAGAGAGCCAGAGATGAAGCTGTGCAGGTGTAACATACCTGTCTGTTCTCCCTTCTACTCAGTTCGTAACCCGCAGCCATCTTCAGCGCAAGTTTGGAACTAATCTTCACCTCTGCAGCCAGAAGTTTCGTCCCGTCCCAGTAATGCTGAATCTCCTTCTTGATCTTCTGTCCGATAGTCAACTTCTTAGGCTCCTTCTTCTCCTCTACCTGGCCTTTCTCCGCTGCCTCCGACACAGCAACATCGTGTATCCTCCTCTCCAGCTCCTTAGACTCGAGTTCTATGCTATCCAGCTGTCTCAAAATCGAACTGGAGGTAGGCGGCTCCTTTGACGAGGTAGCCCGCGACTGTGTCTCCTTTGTAAGCGGCTGTTTGGCCTTCTCGACATCGAATCCAGGTGGTGGGAAGTTGTTTGGGTTGTTGGATCCTTGCGATGTGGATGGGCCGGTTGAGTAGCCACGCCGGAGTTGCGCAAGCTCAAGGCCGACCGATGGCCGAGATGGATGAAAAGATTGAGTCCGGAAAGCGGAGTAAGAGTATCTGGCGATGCTGAGGCGTCCAGCATCTGCTGCGATTGTTAGATCAGAGATCAAAAGGGGGGCCGGAGGACAGAGGAGTATGATGGGTGTGTTTGCATACCGCTCTGCATCAGCCTCCTTAGAAGTAATCCATTCTGGCCAAGGTTCCGCACAGCCATGTATGCGTTGAGTATGGGGAAATCCTGGACAACCGCTCAAAATGATAGAAGACAGGGCAAAAATATGAAGTACTCGCTTTCTGTTAGATGAAGTTTCTAGTGTTTCTGGATGTCTGACGCTTCTTCAGCTTATGGTCGGGGCAAAAAGTCCCCAGTGATTAATCCTCCGGCCGCTGGATGTCAGAAATGCTACGGACAAAATATTTCGCCGGCGCCACCAAAAAATTGGAACCGGGCTAATCGTGGATTCATGGACGGCTGAAGGCATCTTAACGTTATTTAGGTACGAAAGGGTGTTCGATTTTACAGAGACAGCGCCAGTGATAGAAGGGGGCGTAAGGAGTGATTTTTCGCTGTGGTGGGTAGTATTAGGATTAGATGTGCGGACAAAAAATTAGTCATGATCCAAGAGGACATCAACGATCAACAAGGGGGGTATATATGTACATCCTAGGACTCTGCAAACATAGTAGAGGCATCACTAACAAAAGGAAGCAGGACATAAGATGAAATCGTCGACGGGGGAGGGAGTACAAAAATAACAGCGCGTGTTAAAAAGAACGCTAGACAGAGGCATCCTGGGGTCGTCTATTTGTAGTATTATGAGAGGCAGGTTCATCGACCAAGGCGCCGGTAGAGGTGGCTTTGGAATTTGCGTTGAGATCAAGATTGGTGATAAGTTGGCTTGGTTCGACATAGGGCTGCTTGGGGGTTGTCATGACCACGCCGGTGAGAGAGGCGGCCTTTATTCCGTCAGGATCCTGGGGGTCAGCCACGGCCGTGAGAGCTTCAGGAGACATCTGCCACTTGGCCACGTCTCTCTTCAATTGCTCGAGCTCCTTCTGGAACCGCTTTCCGAACACGTCGATGTAGAATGTGGCTCCGTTGTAGATACTCCAGATGAACATGACGGTCAAGAAGGCACTGCTTGCCCACTGGTACCAGAATCAGAGCGGACAGGGGACAATCGTGAGGATGGCGTATATATACTGGATCATCATGAAGGCTGGTTCTTGCAGTGGCAGGGAGAGGTGAAGCACGAATTTGCCGATCCACGTTTTAGCATAGGATGGACGGAGCCAGGTGAAACTAGTTGGGCGGCCGGCAGCAATCTTATCTCTCTGGCGCACAGTGATGAAAAAGTGGTAGCTCAGCTGCCAGATGGCGTAGGGAACAGACGCCCAGATCATCATGGCTCCCAGTGTGTAGTGTTCGGGAGAGCCTGGGGCGCTAAACTTGATCCGATACACCGCCGGGAATCTCGTTTCTAGTATCTCTGGGGGTGTAAGATGCACTAGGCAGTGCAGGGTCACCGGCGGCATAATATGGATGAACAAGCTGCAGTTACAGTTAGAAAAGACGGCCCAGTTAGATATAAAGAATGAACTAACTTACCTGACAACTTTGTCTATGCTGTGAAAAACCATCGAGTTTCTCCACATGGCAATAGCCACGGCGTTATTTCCGTATGCCAGACACCACGTACTCAAAAAGAGCCGTTTGGAGTTGGGGAACACCCACATGCTAAGGATGGTGAGGAGGTTGACAAAGTAACACAGATCAGCAAGGAAGTAATGGTAACCGATCTTGCAGTATCTATAGTATCGTTGGGGCATAAAGTAGATAAGCTGGCCGGTGAACCAGAGGTAAAAGTAGGTAGGGAACGCTCCGAGCAGGTAGCCACTGATGAATACGTTGAGCACACCAGCAATAAATGAAATCTTCTCTATAGCCGTGACTGTGACGGTATCGTTCCAGCGGACAGCAAGTCGTTCGACCGAGCTCTTCATCCGCTTTCGGTATTTCTGCAGCTGCTCTTCCGAAGAAGGCATCCTCTTTTTGAATTCACCGACGACTCTCTGGCGAGCCTGCTGGCTGGTTGACCTGAACTTCTCCTGATGACGCTTGACCCTCTCCTTCTGCGCGTTGAGCGAGGCCTGCCACTTCTCCAGCTTCTGTGATATGGCCAGGTTGCCGAGCAAGTCGAGTACGGTCACTCTCTCGACCGGTGTAAGCGGCTCCCAGTCCTCCTGATAGGAGCTGCTCCCCTCTGACGAGATGCGAGAGAGCGGACTGAGTGCCAGGGGGCTTCGTCCACCCTCTGGAGTTGTAGCCGGAGGCTCCTCCTGCGCAACAACAACTGTCTCGACATTGCCCGAAATGGGAGCAGACTGTGACTGCGGTAGGTTGACGGGCTCTGACTTGACCCGCTGTAGGTCGGGACGCTCCATGGCGGCGGTCTGCGTTATCACGAAGGGTTGCCGTCTGAAAAAAAGCTATTCTCTGTATTTATTGTACCGGAGAGGAAGAAAATATGGTGAGGAAAGGAGGAAAAGGGCCCAGCCCGTTCGGAGCTATGCTGGTCTCTGGGGGATGCTGCCTAGATTCTGGCCATGGGTGTCTCGAGTCAGCTTTGGGGGGAATCGATCTGGAACACGGCCACTCTAGCAAAGTCCCAAAGGAGATAAGCAGGAGGAAAAAGAAAAGCTGGACAAAAGCAACGATCTCGTTGGCAGCAGAAAGACAAAAGAAGAAAAGGAGACGAGAAACAGGGAGATGAGAGGAACACTTACTCACAGCGCGCGGGCGGTCATTTATGTGCTTTATATATACAGGTCCAGGCGATCACGCAAAGGACAGGCTCTCTCCGACTTCTCCACGCCCACGCCGACGGACGCCCTCGTGCTGCAGGTGGCGATCGAGCCCTTTTCAGCAGCGCGCAGAAGCAAGCTCGGTCCTGTCCTGTGTTGCCTGGTCTCGCTGCACTGCCGCTCTACCGTTCGGCTCTGTGTGCGTGGACGGGGACGAGGAGGAGGAGGAGGAGAGATCCCATGATGCTGGCGCTGGGAGGCAGCCTCCAAAAGAAACGACGGTTGGGAGTCGACGGCGAGCCAGCTGCTTACCGGAACGGGACTGTGTGCACGGACACGCGCGCGTGGTTGGTCGCTGGGCGGCCAGCGCAGTTCTAGAAGAGGCTTAGTCAGAAGCTTAGTCAGTCATCGCTGAGGTAAGGCCTCGACAAAAGGGGACTAGCGCTGAAAGGTTAAGGTTTCCATTTGTATAACGTGATATAAAAGTCTAAAGGTTAACCTGGCGAGCTCTACCAAGGTTCCTCTGTTGGTCAACATCTCCCTCGTAGCCGGAATAATATACATATCTCTACCTAATTTATATTGCTTTCCTGAGCTGTCCATGTTATTTATCTCCTCATAACCATGCCGTAAGTCAAATAATGTGCTTTGATGGCTCACCTCCTTTCGCTGACAACTGGCCACCAACTCAGCCTTCAAGCCCCTATTCCAAAACACGCCTCCATTCCACCTCTCCAGCACCAATCTTCCCAATAGACCATTGGTGTCGTCACCATCTAGGTTTCCAAATATCTTTTCGCCTCCGCTCTCCAGATGGAAGTTCTAAATATTGAAACTTGATAAGCTTCAGAGGACAGTTTCGAGAACATCAGAGTAACAGCTTGCATGACCTACTCACCCGTTATTCTGCATCCACATCCCACACCTTAAAGGATTTGTACTCCACATTTTGGCACTTATCGCTGTCCGTGTGTAGTATGATAGTGTTTGGATCGCAATCATCCGAACTGAAAAACACGGCGTAGAAGTTGTCATCAACTTTTCCCGTGCTCTTGACTATGACCGATTTAGCCGTGCCGGCAGACACTGTACTGCACTCCTGCCCAGGCCCAGCTACCTGGACGCCTAGCTGCTCGCTTCGACAGTGTTCTCCCCTGTAGAATCTGAATTCGAATCCTTGCGTGGGAAGGGATAGGCCTACAAGAGCCACCAACGGAATGAGAGTTCGAGAATGCATAATTTACTCTAGCACAAGGGGTATATAGTCTTTATATCGACAGCGGGACAATGTATTATTTGATAATATCGGATGATGGTCTTTGTATAGCCTGGGGCCTATCAAAGGGTATAACTGTGAGAGTCGAATTCCACGTTAAGGTAATTATTGTGAGGTTTGAAAAGACAACAGTCGAAAGACCTTTTGGCCATGTAGTGTCCATCTCAACGGGTTTTAATAAAGCTGCAGACTCGATGTTGCCAGCGGTGTCCACTAACTAACTCATAATCTAGGGAAAATTTGGGGGTGGCATTGTTGGTTGTTCCAGCGTAAGGCTGTGATGCGCGTAGTCATCCCCATCACCATACCCCTGTACACAACCGGGATTACTGATATTCTACAGTTTTTGGGCAAGACGTTACGGCCCATATGCATAATGTCTTGCTATTTATAATATTATCTAAATATATGTTTCAGGAAGCCCTGGACCAGATAACTTCTTTCGCCGCTCAGCCAAGAAGTAAACTAGGGATGGGGTAATCATTGGGTTGGTGATATCCAAGGATTAGGTACCAGCTACACCAATATGGATGTAAGCTGGTGAGTCAGCGCCATCCATAGTCTACAGTGTAGTAGCAGTAGTCACATACGCCGCTCTAAATGCATTATGCATAGTCATATATATTAGTTATACGACCAGCACCAGTTTCACTTCTATAGGAAGCCTGATTACTGCTCAACTCGCACGCAAACTGCTCCATATGATTGAGTCAAAATTGTACCTTTGCATATAAGCCGCATTTGTCAACATAATAAAAAGCGCATCTGTAGGAGCTATGTTACCACATCACTGGATTATGGTAGGTCCTGGAAATGCGGTTTGAGAGTAAACATTCGCATCGTAGCAGCATGCAGTCGAAGCGGTTGTTGGAGCATGACATATCAAATAACCCGCACCCCCGGCCATGGAGGTTGTTTGAACTCTGTGAGGGTTGATTAGTACCAAGATGAGCAACGCAGATATCATAACTTGGCATGCTCCTGGGGCCGTATATATGTTTCAGGTTAAACGTCCATCATCAAATCCCATGTTGGAAAATGGAAAGCAAAAATTATTATACATATGCCACTGGAGTGCTGCCATGACTCGAATCCCTAAAGTTAACCTTATCCAAATTCAAAGCAGCACTTGGACTCACCTAGAACTCACTCCACCTCCTTGAACTCCACTGTATTCTTCGAGAATGCACATCCCAAAAGCATGGAAAGCAGTCTTCATCCTGCTCAACCATGGCTTTATGCTCTTCTCTCCAGCGATCGCAGCAGGAACTATTCCTCCATTGGCGGCAAAAAATAGCCTCGTCTTCGGCACAGCCGCGGAGGGTATCCAGGACGAACCGGCTTCCGTAAATCCTGGCCTTGTATTGCGAGCAGCTTCACCAAACAAAAACATGAGAAAATGTGATCGGTGTCGACAACGATGCAAACCAATGATGATTCATGATCGCAAAGATTGCACGAAATGCAACCGATGCCCACCCGGTATGCATCCCGACCGGGCGCAGAAGAAGTGCCTCCGCGACAGCAAAGACGACAAGAAAAAGAAGTTCGAGGACAAGAAGGACAGGGAAAAGCGAGACTATAACTTCAAGAAGAACTATCACAAGTTCCGACCCAAGCCACTGAGGTTTCAGAGGAAAGTGAGTGTCGAGAGGAAGAAGTATAAGGAGATCCAGAATATGAAGAGAGATGCACTCAATCGCATGAAAGTACGTCGGCTTGGAAAATGCGCCCTCCTCACACCCCTAGCCATAAGCGGAGAAGCGATTGAGAAGTACAGCACTGGCTTTTTTGACGAAAATTTCATGGACAGCATGGAGCTCCTCGATCTCTGGCCGGAGGAATTGAAAGATATTGAGCCGAAATATCTGGACCAGAGCGTATTTACCGATGAATATCTCGATAAGTACGTGGACTTTGCGCAAGAACACTATACCAAAAGGTCCATCGATGACGCCGCTCCAGGGGATCAGGTGCAAGGCGAGAATGAGCAGGAGACGGGGCTCATCATCAGTCCGTCATCCCGAGACCTTTCCATTCGTTCCATCGGAGCCGTGGATATTGACCGCCGATGTCCCTTCTGTATTTTTGTAGTCATCGCGAGAGCCATTGCAGCAGCCGTGGCCAGGGTTGCGGGTCGGGCTGCTGCTAGAGCTGCCAGTGCTGGTGCCAGGGTTAGCAAAATCCTCGACGATATCGCAAAGAACATCAAACTTACCAAGGGGAAAGGCTCTAAGACTTATCGAGAGCAAAAGGACGCTGCAAGAGAAATATCAAAAAATCGGAATTGGATGAGATGCCTTCGCGGGAACAATCCCAAGTGAGATATAACCATCGTCTTGTTGAGCATTTCCATATTTACTCGACGACGTTGTTCAGCAGTTTCCTGTATTTGATATCGTTTTTCTTCTTATTACTTGCCTAAAGAAGCTGTCATTGGGGAGTGTTGGGGGTTTAATGGAGTTATTCTCCTATAGTATATGAGTAAATGTTAGGTAGGGAGAGGAGGAGTAATAATAATGGATAAGACGCTGTTGCAAATAACCTGTCCCTTATTGTGGCTTAACACTATTCCTAATTAGGTTAGTTAGATTAGCGCAAGCTGGGGCGCTCTTCGTTAATACAGCTATCCAATCAAGCCTTGTTGAGCCTTGCAGGAGACCCACTTCTTAAAGTACACTATAAATAGGTGCCTGACAACTCCTGACGTGCTCAACTCCCCAGATACAATACAAACAGGAGTCATATAGGTATTCCTCGACTCCTCCAAAGGGATGTAATC